AGCCCTAAACCCTGAACCCCTTAAACCCAACACCTAAGCCCTAAACCCCTAAACCCAAAACCTTATAACCCATAAGCCAAGGAGCACCCTAAAGCAAGAACCCAGGTCCATCAGGTCTCGTCTCTCGCAGAGCTCATTGCCAACACTGTCATCACCATGGAACCCGTCTCCGCGGGCGTGCTCCGAGCTGTGCGGGTGTCTTCCTTCATCGATCATGGGACTTAGTAAGTCGGGTTATAAGTAAAGCGACCCACACAAGGCTAAAATTCCTTGAAACCTAAACTCTAAACCCTAATTCCTGACAGCCCAAAAGAAGGTACTTAAGACCCGACTTTCTAAGTCTGCTGAACCTCTCTAAATAGTACGGAAGTGCCCTGTGGCTTTCCAAGATGAGTTATGATTGTACTGTAGGGTCCATCACGGTCGTTTGCCCTAGTTTGTCTTCGAACAAAGTGCCGAAAGCATGGCGGGGGGCCGTACTTTAAATTGTTACCTGTAGCATTGTTGAACAGGGCGTCCCCGGTATGATGATATGCGGAGCAAAAACCGCAAAAAAACAAACCTCGATGTTTCTGCCCGGTCGAGTGAAGTGCTGCGGCAGAACGGGGCAGGGCCGATATTTTCGCATGTTAGCATTGCTCAACAAGGCGTGACCTTCATGATGATATGCGCAGCAAAATGCGCAAAAAAAGCAAGCACACAAGCCATGTTTCTGCGCGGGAAACATTTTTTATCAATGGCTTGGGCATGCATGCACCGGGCAACGGATGAGTGGGTAGCATGGACATTCTCTTGGTTTGGGCATTGACATTGATGTACTAGTCAATGGATGTGTTGGCAGCATGGGCGTTATCATGGTTTGGGCATGGATGCACTGGCCAATGGACGGGTTGGTAGTATGGAAGGTTATCATGGTTTGGGCACGGCGCACTGGCCAATGGATGGTTGGCAGCCTGAACATGACACGATGCAGACCTGAGCGACAGAGAAAGCGGGGCAAACGTGAGCAATGAAGCCTGATTGTAGGATTTAGGGTTTTGGTTTTAGGGTTCGGGGTTTAGGGTTTAGGGTTTAGCAACCCAGGATACTTATCGAAGCAGTAAAGAAGTTGGAAATCGGATTAAGGATAATTCGTGCTGGGATTCCCTCTACATGACGCTTAAGGATTGAGGCTATTGGGTTTACAATTTTTGTGCTTCTACTGTACAAAGACCCTGTAAAATCTGCATTCAAGCCCCCTGTCTTGACAGTAAATCCTGACCCCAACAAATAAACCTAGAAAGCCCAATCCCAAAATCCTAAGCCGAAAAAAGTTCATGGGCCGAAGCTCAATTGCACAACCCTACACCCTAAACCCGAAACCCCAACCTTAAACCCAAGAGAGGTGGCCGATGCCCTCGAAAATTATGGGGCCGTTCTTCGCAGGCATTGCGGCAGCCGACACACGTTGAGCTACTTGGTTCAGGGCTTTCCGGAGGGCTTTGGGAGGGCTTTCCCTCGCATCTTAGGCATTAGGCTTTTAGGTTTAAGGCTGTAGGGGTTTAAGGGTTTAGGGTCTAGGGTTTAAGGTTTTAGGTTTAGGGTTTTAGGTATCAGGCGTTGGGGTTAGCAAAACGAAGGTAAACGATGGCCCCGCACCTTGTCAAAGGGTATGGTTCCAATTTTGGGGTCCAGGTAGGGTTCAGGGTTTGAGGTATTACTGCGTTGCTGGGTAATCGGAAGAGCAAGGCTATCCCACGACGACGATCCGCACCTTCTGGAGCCACAGCTGGCATGGTGGGGCATGGAAGAAGTATGTCACACTCTTGCTCTTCTACCATGGTTCCTTTTCTTTTTTAGTTAGATCTGTAGAGTTGAGATTTCTTGGAATGTTGGGTTTAGGGTTTAGGGTACTCTTCTACCATGGAGCCTTGGTAAGATTGCCGGGTTTAGGATTTAGGCTTAGCGGAGCTTTGATGGCTCTTAGCTTTGTCGGGCGTTTGCAAGCCCATTCCGCCGGAAGTTGTCAAACCTCATTGGGCCATGACCTGCGCAGCTGAGGAACCGCGGCACTTCTCATTGCCAGCCTCGGGGCTGGTTTAGCCTCCGTGCTTTTCGGTTTGGAGATCTTGCCCGCCCTAACGCAGCCAATGGAAGGTGGGTCAAATTTTCAATGCATCTGGACGAATCCGGTGGGTTTGGTGTCATACTGCGTTGTGCTCTTGTTCTGGCGTTCCTCGGCCGATGTCTTCCTTGACGTCATATGCATAGATCAAGAGGTCCAGCCAAAGAAAGCCGACGGGCTTTTGAGCATCGGCGCTTTTCCGAAATAGCAAGACTCTTCTTCTACAAAGATCTCATAATATACTATCAGGCCCTTAATTGATGATTCAGGTATGTTCCTGAAGGGCGGAACCTAGGTGCTTTTCTGAAGAACTCTGACACCATGCTGGTTCTTTGGGACGATACGTACTGCGATCGCGCCTGGGTTTTAATTCAGGGTTTAGGGTTTTGGGCTCAGGGCATTTTTCTTGCATCTTGGTAGTGGTTTCCGATATAGGTATAGGGTGACTTGTGAAGGCTCTGAAGCCGAAGACAGTCGTTGACTTTTTCCTCAACTCGAAACCGAGGACTCTGGTGCATGTTCGAGATTGCGGGTTTTGCCAGAAGCCGCTCTGCCGGTGAGGAGCCACGACTCCTCATTCGGCCTACGGAACTGTCCCTTTGCTACTTCTCTCAAGCACTCACCGTGTTGTTTGTGACCATCGTCACTGATTTCCTTCCACTGAGTGGAGACGATGTTGGCGTCATCTGGACTTTTCAAGCACTGAATGCCTTGGTGTTCTGTGCAGGTTTTTATGCCAACATTGCGATATACAGAGACTGCTTCCGCTCCATGGAAGCAGATGGAGACAAACTGGCAAGCTTCTCGCTTGACAACGTCAGCTCCTTTTGCTGCGAGAATAACCATGAAAGGAGCCGCGGACTTTGCGACAGGCGGGTTACGAACAAATGTATCTGGGTTCTTGTTCATCGGATGCCTCAAAAGGTGGGATGGAGGTAGGTAGGTGGGATATTCCCAAGTATGAGTCCTTATACAGGGGATCCTTCACCCTACCTACCTTCATCCCATCTTACTCCCAGTTCAGGCGCTTAACTGAAGCTATCAACGACAAGGATATTTTCAACACATACACAGAGTGTATGTGAGTATATAAATATATATATAAATATATATATATAAATAAATAAATAAATAAAAATATATATATATACATATGCATCTGCACATAGTTTTTCACAGGGTGTCCTAACTATTTTAACTGCAACTGGACTCCTTAACAGAACCCAGATAAAGAAACAACAAAACAGCGAATGCCCTTGTCACCAATCCTGTAAGATCCTATAACCCCCGTACAAATACCATGCGGAGCCCTCATAATATGGCGAGTCTGGAACCCATATATAAAGTCTTTGTTATGAAAAACCGTCGTGCAAAACACTACGAATACAACCAAGGTATCATTGCTTGGTTCGGAAGCAAAGAGCTCTTTGAGGAATACGTGCGGACGAGAGTTCGCGCGCTACTCCTCCGAGAGCATGCGAAGCAGTGCTTCTCATACCGTCAGGCGCTGTGATTGGGGTTTCTACGGGGGCGTGCATCATGGGGGTTAATTAGGGTTTGCGGATTTCGGTGGTTTTAGAGGTTTGGAGGGTTCTTTGACCCCGTCAGGCCATCACTGCCATGGTCCCGGTCTTGTGGCACTTCGTAAGCAAAGCTGCTGCATGGTCCAGGTTCACCAGTTGGGATCCGAAAATGCAGGCCGCGCGAGAACTGATCCGGGGTCTGGCATGGTGGTTGGGGGTTGCTCCCATGGCCCTACTGGTGGGCACAAGGTTGTGTTACCCACTCCGGCACAGACGCAGCTGGGCTCCGGCTGAATATCTTATCAATCTACCGCCGCTGCTGGCCAGCGTCATGGTTGTTGTTGCAGCACAGCAGCTTGAGCATCTGTGCTTCTCGCTCGACGACCTTTTCGAGTTGCCGCTTGGCTCTAGTTTGAAAGCAGAACAGGACAGCTGTGCTCAGACGCGATCCTCACAAGCCTGATGTGCAACAGTAAGTAGTAAGTACACTTCAGATTGAAACAATCCTCACGAAGTGTCGCCATCGTCTATGCTAAGGCAGATTTCGGTGCAGTTGTCGATTTCATGGTAGGTACAAAAGCTTCGGAAGTGATCGCGCAGGGGCTCGGCGCGTGGGCCTCTGTATTGAGTAGCACGGGTATGTCCGGGTCCGGCCTCTCAACTTAAAGCTGCATCCCCCAATCAAACTCATGGGTCTAGTTGGGGGTTACTTGCCCCAAACCCTACACTGGCCCTGAACTGCATCGCAACTCCATCCGAACTTACAGTCTTGGTGAGGCAAGTCCGGATAGCCCGNNTTAGGGTTTAGGGTTTGGGGGCGTGAAGATGTGAATCCCGGTAGCTGAAGCATGGTACGTGTGAGTGCATTCATACATGCCACGTGTGATGTGTGTCTGATCGTGTATGCCTCGCCCAGTGCTCCGACTCTACATCGTAGTGGTTCGACAGCAGCAGCAGCAGCAGCGGCAGCGGCAGCGGCAGCAGCAGGAGTAGTAGTAGTAGTAGTAGTAGTAGTAGTGGTAGTAGTAGTA